CGATCTCCAATTCCTCACGCCTCCCGGTATCCATACACCCAGTGGCAATTCTATCAGAAGCCAGTCGCCGATGAGGAAAGGGGCATCCACACGTCTTACGATGCTCTCTAGAGGCAGCACTAGTTATGATACTAGATCTGAGAGTTCCTCATTGATCGTACCCTCTAAACGATTACCCGGAGAGGATACATTCCTTCGTGATCTAGACACCGCTCTTGGGCGCGTGTAATTTTCTCTTTTTCTGTCAACATTTACTTAGCGCATCATACCATGCGCATGGCTTGCGTTTTTTCTTTCTCCAAAAAATGTTTCTTCCTCATATACCTCACATTGCATCTTCACACAGATTGTGATTAAAAGTTTCTCGGGTCATTCAGGTTCAAAATTCACAATAAATCGGTTTCTTTTTGGGTATACTTCTTCTCTTGTATCGATCTCTCACATTCATTTGGTAGAATCACGTTTATATATCTATTTTAATTGTCCATAAGGGTGGAGTCCTATGTTAATTGTCAGAGGCCAAGACATCATACAGAGATATAAATGGGCAGATTTGGCATTATATAGCAGTTTAGATCTTCTTAATACGTAATGAATCTTTACATCATATTCATAACAGTTTGCAAACTCGTGAGCCATCGGTAGAAGTTTATGTGAACGCTTGATGACTAAACGATAAGAGACGATCTGCTTACCCTTTTGGTAATCATGCAACTGTTGAGAGCCTTGCTATCTCTACGTGATTTAGCCAGGTATGTTACTTTGAGTCTACCCAATGTAACGCTTTTGGTTGGGGCTGAGCACCAACATCAGGTTTCTAGAATAGGCAAGCAATTCATCAAATGAATGAATATGAGCATGATTACAGACAGGTTGGCATTTATGTAGCACGATCAAAGCGAGCATAAGTACACCACTTGCATCTCATCACCTCTGTATCCTATACTTCGGTTCTCTTCTCATTTCTTCTCTTGAAAAAAAATCTTCAGATTACTACTTCATTTCGATTACCACAATCATCTTAAGCAGGGATCACTCACTCACTTAATAACCCACAATCATTTAAACCACAGAAGCAACTCCCTCGCTAGCAATGGTCCTCACACCAGAACCCAGAACACTATCTCACTACAACTATGATCCATCATTCTCCGCCACCCTCGCAGTCGGCGTTCTCTATTCCCTAGCATTCTTCGTTACCTTCTTCCAATGGCTCAGATACAATGCCGGGGCATGGGCTATCATGGTTGTTGCTGCTGCCAGTAAGTATTTCTTCCCTTTCTCAACCCTATATCCCGAGTTCGCACTAACGATATCTCTGTAGTGGAAGGAGCAGGTTATATTATCCGAGCAATCTCCTCAAAACATGTTACCGAAAAATCAATTTATGTGGCGCAAACTGCACTTATCGTACTATCACCTGTTCTCATGGCCGCTGCTTGCTATATCATTTTTGTGAGTCCAAGCTCTTTCCTGGCCGAGCTATCTTGGAAGCGTTGAAGTGTCGCTAACGATGTGAACATCAGGGGAGAATTATCTACCACGTCGTCCCCAAGGAAGCACGAACCACCAAGCTCCTCTGGATTCCCCCTCGGTTCATAACTCTTATTTTCGTAGTCTGCGACATCCGTAAGCAGCTCACATCTCAAACTCAAAATCCATGTATCAACCACTAATAAACACCCTTAAGTTGCGCTTCTCCTTCAACTAATTGGTGTCGTGCGCATCACATCTATCGATATAACTTCTGCCGACGCGCAATCCAAGCTGAGTAAAGGGAAAAACATTGCTCTGGCTGGAGTCGCAATCCAGATGGCATGTTTTGGACTTTTTTCCATCATCGCTATCCGATTCAATTTCACATCTCGACGCTTTACATCGGAGTTTCAACGGCGCATTACTCTTCCAAATGATAGCGAGAGCAAGGATGGTAAATATGTGATGATCGATCGAGCAGAGAAAAAGCTCAAGCCAAATTGGCAGGCGCTATTACATGTGGTCAATATTACTTGCGTGTTGATTTTGATCAGGAGTGTTTTTCGCATGGTGAATTTCGCGCTAGGGAGAACGGGGTATACTGAGGAACGTGAGTGGTGGTGAGCGTCTATCTTTTCAATCTCTTTCAGGTGGATGCCGAATAAAGGGAGTAGAGATTGGCTAACAGATGAGAAAACAGTGTATATGTTTTTGATGCGCTCCCTATTTTCCCCTGTGTGGCACTCTTCAACTATTGGCACCCGGCAAAATACCTCCCACATATGCAATGGAGATTGCCAAAGTATGCCAGATAAATCAATGGCAACTCGAAACCATGATTGGAAGGTACTGATTGACGAAGTCGTTCAAGGGGTATTCGATTTTTGTTCGTAGGAGAATGCAGATGGTGAAGACAACTGCGTGTTAGCCATGTGGAATTTTTTATTTCTTAATTTTATTTGATACAATCTGTTGAAATACTTGTAGGTTTACTTAGCTGTGCGCTTGACAACATCTATTCTTATCGCTCGTCATCATCAGAGGCTCCCTCTTAACTTACCAATACAGAGAAACACCACTTATAGAATTGTAGTCGATGCATTGATCAGAGGACGGAACCGACTTTCATGCTCATCCCATGTCGCAACCGACATGGCGAATTGGTTACCCTTTCCGGAATAGTGCTTATGCATGTAAATACTCTTATACTCTTAATCGCGGTCAGCTCCTTGAAATTCACAAAATACCATAGATAAATTGTTCCAATAGATTTATGATTTTACCAAAAATCTGCATTTCCCAACAATCAAATCGCATATGGAGAGGGAGATATTTGCGCGAAATACATATCCGCTAAACCCGCCTACTTGCAGATTTCATTCACTCACTGCCGAATAGGAGCTGGTGCTTTCTTGCGACGAACACGATTCGTAAACCAGTTCGGGACTGGCTTTCATAAACCGTTGATTGTACAAAACACCACCATGGTTTTTTGCGGAAAGCCAAGCAAGGCATGTTTATGCTGCCGAAAGAGAAGGATAAAGGTCCGATCATTCCACCCCAATCAATACCCCTAGTACTAAAATTCTCCTAGTATGACCAGAAATTACCAGCTTGTACACAATGTATACGAGTGGGTAAGATTTGTCCAGGGTATCGCGATCAGCTAGAACTTTGCTTTCGGGATGAGAATGAAAGGACCTTGCGAAAAGCCAATTCCGTAAACAATACATCTATTGTGAGAGCTAAAAGTTCTCCTCACAATGGAAAATCCAAGGTTTCATCTCATATTACACGACTAGCAAGCAAAGCCGCAGTCTCTATAACAGAATTCGAATCTAGAAATCCTCCTATATCGAACTTGCCCATAGCCAAGAACTGGTGTCCTTTGGATGATAAGGGAATAGCCTTCTTTCTAACGTATTATATGACGATTCCACTAGAACGCACACATAACTGGGTTGATCTAATGCCAAATATGTCTGTTAAATCGTTCGTGCAAAGAAGAACGTTAGAAGCAGTTTCTTCGGTGGGACTGGCTGGACTATCAAACGCCACCAATAATCCCAATTTGATGGAGATTGCGAGAAAGAAGCATTCTGATACTGTGAATTTTGTGATTCGGGAACTTGGAGATATTGTGAATGCAAATATTGAGGGACTCTTACAGAAAGTTGTGATGTTAATCATCTTTGAGGTAAGTGTCGCCATTCACGAACCACGAAACGACTCTAACAACTTAGTTGATAAACACGGCACCCTGTGAATCACATTCACTTTCTGTGCATTTCAATGGTGCTTTAAGTCTATTGAAAACACTAGCTTTGAGAAATTACGAGGAAAACAAACCGACCACGAAACTCCAGTTGCAATTATTTTTTGCTGCACATATTGAGTACTTTGACGAGAACAACCTCCCCTCGACGCAACTAATCGACTTTTCCAAGCTTATTCTAAAGAACAAGCGAACGCAAGACGTGACTGCTTCTGCAGTGGTTGAGATTGCTATTCGATTCATCAATCTTCACGCATCCATCAGGGCGAAAGCATTTACAAATCTAGTTGAAATTGTTTCGGCACTAGCCTCCCTGGATGGCGAATTGGAGCAATGGGAAGCAAATCTCCCTCTTGACTGGAATTTTACTGTACGGAGCAGAGACTTGCCAGATGGGAGTTCTTTCAATGGGAAATGTCATGAATATTGTGATGTCTGGATTTCGCGAATGTTTAATCACTATCGATGGATGAGAATATTATTGAATGAACTTCTTCTCAAGCATTTGAATAGGATGACATACCTGACGTCTGAACATTTGGTTCAAGAGATGAAAGCATTAAAAATAATCAACAGGATGGCAACAGATATTTGCACTAGCATCTCTAGTTATTTTGACCATACCACACTAGTAGTGGAGCGTCCAACATTGTTACCTCAAATGAGCGGTATACCAGTGTTTTTGATGATTTGGCCCTTATTTGTTGCTGGTGGAGGAACTGGTGTACCGCAGCATTTGTACAACTGGGTTCTCGGTCGATTGGGTATTATCAACAAACAGTTAGGCGTTTTATCCGCGCAGACAATGATGGAGCGGACCAAGATACGCCGACAGAGGTGGGTTCGTGCAGATGTGAAAGCATCACGCACAACATGCAATGATACCTTATTTCCCCTAATCCTTGAAACTGGCTGCGAGATGCAGATGGAGATGGAGCCATTGGACTGAGTATAGATGATCACAACATGTTTGGGGAAGAGATCCGGAAAATGCGGATTGTGGTATCTTAGACCTTAGTTATTGATACCCCAGGAGAGTCAACGTGCAGACTCACGCGGGATAAGATTATACTCTGTAATCCATGGATATCTCTGTCTGCGAAGATAACAAAGAACCAATTACCCGTTCGTGAAGTATTGGTTGACCGCTGAAGATCTTCAAAGTAGATCGATGGAATAGAATCCCGAGTAAGATTGCTTGCTCGCTCGGACTTATCCGATATGGATTGGATCTACACGTGATTTTAGATGCGATAAGTGCTTCTCCGGCATTTCTACTCGTATTATTTTTAGCACCAGGGGTTTGAGAGAAAGAGTTTTGTCTTTGGCTTGCTGAAGATACTACCTTGGTACACCTTGCTACACCTTGCTACACCTTGGTCCTTGACTGGCTAGGAGATCTGACTCGTGGTGTCTGATTTGTCTGATTTGTCTAATTGTGGTCCGTGACCTTCTCCACAAGCATTTCGTGCATCTTCATAAGAAATCTCCGTTCGCTCAGACGCTTTCACGAACACTTTAAAAACACGTCGTGAAATCCAGATTGTATGCAGTTGTTCCTTTTGGTACACTCTTGTACGTTGTTGTACGTCGCTTTCCCCTCATTCTTTGGCTCAATATGCTGGCTCGTTGAACTAGTAGCTCCTATCACCAATATCTACAACGTTACTTTATCCGCGACTCAATAATGACACTTGAGAAACATGCAGCTACAAGTATACTAGGTTCATATACTTGACCTAACACGTATAGGGAAGCTCATATAGCCGGCGCATATGATCAACATTGCTCTAGAACAACTATCATCATACTATCAGATTCCCCGCATAAAATGCGCTTATCCGAGAGTCAAATGCCAATGGAGGCTTTCGACATGACTTAACGTTGGTGCATGTGCGTCTACTATCACGCAGAACAAGCCAAAAACAATTCGGTAGGGGAAGAAATCAATGCACACATTCAATACATATTCAAGATTTTTCTGGCCGGTGACAGGATCTTCGGAACTTAAGCTTTTTGATGTTCAATCCGAGTGTTCCTTGCAGATTTATCCTCATGTGAACCATTAGGTTCATGGAGTTACGAGTTTTGTACTCCTACGTTGTGTGATCTGCTACATTTAAGAAAACGTTGAAGTCCCTCGAGTTTACACTTTCTTTTCTATCTAGATTCTTCTAGTCTTCCTTTCTAGACTCAGATCTCCTCGAGGCACCCGAGTACTAGCTCACTGGATTCACTATTCGGTTACCCCTCTTTGTCATCATCATTAGGATTCCATAGTGATTCACCAAATCCCTCGAAGGCTAGTGTTGCAAGTAATTTCATTTTGATTCATTTGAACCTTCGTTCCACATAGCCTCCTCCCGCTCTGTCTTTCTGCCAAACTCGGATTTCAACTCCAGAATTCCTATAAAGACAAGCAGTTCGTTCCTTTACCTCATCTTCTTTGCAAATATTGCAACGTAAGTTAAGCAGCCAAAAGCGAATAACACTATGGAATGCTAATCTCAAATAGGTTCGTGACTTCCCATAGACAGTTCTTGGGTTTAATATTACAATGCGTTTCATTTCTACAACCGCGCCTGCGTTGGCATCTCTATGCCTAACTACGTTGGCTGTACCTCACGGTCCTCAGTCTGAAAAAAGACAAACCTATGGCAGCTCAGCAAAATCGGCTGCAGATCGACAGGCTGCTGTCAAAGAGGCATTCTCGTTTGCTTGGAATGGATATTACAAATACGCCTTTCCTCATGACGAGCTTCATCCAATTGCGAACAGTTACTCAGATTCCAGGTACAGCAATCAAAACCATGCGTCACGATACCTGAGCTAACTTGCAAAAAGGAATGGATGGGGAGCCTCTGCTGTAGATGCATTCAGCACAGCAATCATCATGGAGATTCCGGAAATTGTAGACGTGATTTTAGATTGGATCCCAACCATCAATTTCGACGAAACTAGTTCACAAGTTTCGCTGTTTGAGACTACAATCAGATATGTTGGTGGGCTCCTTGCTGGTAAAGTTTTCCACTTTCTACTTGAAACCCCATTTATCTTACATATTTTAGGTTACGATCTCCTCAAAGGACCATTTTCCAACCTCAATTCTAACGACACGGCCGTCGATGAGGTTCTTGCTCAGGCAGCACGCCTAGCTGACAATATGGCATTTGCATTTGATACACCTTCAGGAGTACCAGCTAACAATATTTACTTCAACCCTCCAAGCACTGATGGTTCTACCACAAACGGAATCGCAACAATTGGCTCACTAGTTCTTGAGTGGACCCATTTGTCTGATTTGACCGGTAACGACACTTATGCTAAACTCTCCCAAAAGGGAGAATCGCATCTTTTGGACCCAAAACCCGAGTACAACTCGCCATGGCCTGGTATGCATCAACTCAGTCTTTTATTATCCCAATCCATCTGAGATCGCTCCAACTTCATGTCTCATTCGATCTTTTTTTTCTTAAGGCAATAACTGACTAGTGATACTATAGGGTTGCTTGGTACAAATGTAGATATCAACACAGGACTTTTCCAAGACGCGAGCGGAGGCTGGGTAGGTGGCGATGACAGTTTCTACGAGTATCTCATCAAGATGTACGTGTATGACACAACTAGATTCGGCAAATACAAAGAAAGATGGGTCGCAGCTGCAGATTCATCTATCAAACATTTGGCTAGTCACCCCTCAACTCGTCCAGATCTGACCTTTATGGCCGCCTACCAAAACAAAACACGTGTTTTTGTTTCCGAGCATCGTAAGTACACTCATCACCAATGGACTCCAAATTAGTAGAACCATAATACTGACACGAAACACAGTCGCTTGTTTCGACGGAGGCAATTTCCTCCTCGCAGGTCTCGTACTCAACGAGCAAAAGTACATTGATTTCGGACTCGAGCTCGTCAACGGCTGTGAAGACACATACGCCAGCACACTCACCGGTATCGGACCCGAAGTTTTCCGATGGGTAGAGAGCAACACTTCTGCCAACGATACCCAAAACCCTCCACCACCTGCCGATCAACTCGCCTTCTATAAGAAAGCCGGTTTCTATATCACCAATTCAGATTATATTCTAAGACCCGAAGTCCTTGAGTCTTTCTACTATGCTTATCGCTTGACTGGAGATGAGAAGTATCGTGAGTGGAGTTGGAATGGATTTGTTGCTATAAATGCAACAGCGAGGTATGACTTCACTTAACTCTATCATTTTTAGCGAGGCTTTACAACTGACTTTGCAATCATAGAACCGGTAGCGGATTTGCTGAACTCCAAAATGTCAATGCGGCGAACGGAGGCGGTTTCAGTGATTTCCAGGACAGTTTCTTGTTTGCTGAGGTTTTGAAATATGCATATTTGATTCACGGAGATGTAAGCATCCCTTCCTTATTTGTTCCTTTCTATCTTTCCTTCCCCCTTTCTGTTACCCAAATCAAAAAGTTAGACGTGCTCACACCCATCAAACAGGACGCAGAATACCAAGTTGGAGGTGGTGGCGTCAACCAATGGGTTTTCAACACCGAAGCTCACCCCTTCAAGGTCGCTGGTCCTCCCATCTAATTAACTGATTGAAATTCTTGGATTTGGATTTGGATTCGGCTTCGGAGTTTACATAGGTTACGGAAGAGTTTTTCTTCTTTGGGCATTCAATTCAAGGCACGCTAGCAATCTAGCTCCTCTTCTTTGGTAATGAGCTATCAAGCCATGCCGTTTCTACATTTAGCTTAGTTCCTTAGCTGAATGTAAGTTTTTTTATCAACTTTTTGATTCAATATGAGGATTTAGATGAAGCTTTCTGAATCCCTGTGCTTGTTTGTTCTCTCTATAGAGGAGAAGCTTTTTAATTCTTTAGCTTTTGCTTTTGCTTTTGCATATATACATACATATTATTTACCCCAAGAATCGAACCACGAAATACAATAATCTCAAGCAATTGCACACGTTTCTAGTCCAACAAAACCTTTCTCGAAAATTCTAGAAATCGCTATCATCCCAAAAACATCCACCCGCCCAATCCTTCTTCACAAGAAAATTTTACAAAAGTATTCTACCGTATCAATACCCACCCGTCTACAACACTGTACTACCCATATAAACATTCCACACATCTCAACTTTCCATTGCCGATCTAGTATCTCAGGTATATTCCAAAGTACCTATCCATCTGATCTAATCAACAGCAAGATTCGTGTATATCCTCGTACGCAAAAACGAACGAGCCAATAAATCATCACTTATCTCACAGAACTTTCTTCACTCGGTCTGGTTTCCCCGCAGGTTCTTCCAAGGAAAGGAGAGAGGTAATTCATATCAAATACCCAGCCAATCAATTAATCCATCTATCTATCCGACTTCACGAGATGGTCAGTACTTAACAAATCTTCAAATTACCTACTTCACACACGTTTAGAAGTTGAAGGTTTAATGCGCGAGCCGAAGAAGCTTAACACGGTCAAGAGCTCTAGATAGTGAATGATACGTTTCTTCTTGTTTGATGCGACTGATGCTGAGTTTGGGAAATATCTTCATGGGAGATATTTGGGGGACTTGAGTGAGCATTATGGATGAAACGTGTAGAATGGCTATATAATTTTAGGAAAAGAGGTGAGAAAGGCGCGGGGTTGAATAGCTATAATGTTCCCAAGGATGTGGTGTTGAAGGTTCTTTGGAGAGTGGTAACGAGGTAGGTATGTACTCCATGGTGAGAAGTTAGAGGCACAGCGTTGAGCAGTTTTTTTTTTTATTTATTTATCTATCTTCATCTGACCTAAAAGTACCGTTAAACGAAATGCATTCTGTCTCCGCCTAGCTTTGATCAAACCTTTCGTTTCAACAGCCCCTTCAAGAAATCAAAGCTATTGCTATCACTCTGCAACTCCCAAACCTTCCCTGTAGGTCTATCTTCCCAGCCCAACTCTTCCGCGCGTAGCAATCCCCAATCCGTAGTGATACCCCTAATGATAGCCCTTGCACCACCTTCTGTCTCCAAGGTAACTATTTGATCCGTATGCAACCAGTGTTTGTAATAGACTTCCTCCAGTTTCTTGTCAAAGCCATTTCTACAGAAGGTTTTATAGATGGTTTCGAATTTAGTGAGGAAGCGAGCAAGAAGTTTTTCGAGAGAGAAAGGTGTGAGATGTGGTGGTAAGAGAGCGTTAAGTGATGTTGTTGGCGCTGCGTTTGTGGTATTGAGACCTATACCTACGACTAAATCGTAGTTTCCTGATGAATATGAGGAATTAACGAGAATGCCCCCAACTTTGACGTATTCTTTTCTTCCGGGTTTAGATGGATCTTGGACATCTACTATTGTTAGAACGAGCTTTAAAGAATGAAGAAACGAACGTACAAATGTCATTGGGCCACTTGAGTTTGATTGGTACTGTATCATAGCCTTTATCGTATGAATGAATAGCTTCAACAATAGCTATTGCTGCTAGATATTGTATGAAGACCACTGGTGCTTTATGTCCAAGTTCCATAGGATGTTTCATGCAAACAGACCAGATCAAGCACCCAAGAGGAGAAACCCAAACATTGGAACCACGGCCACGTCCGGCAACTTGTGTTGTAGCTGTAAAAGTGAAACCCGTAGGAAGCCTAGAAAGAAACTTCGGGTTCCTAGAGTGCATTAGGAAGGATACGATTCAAACGAGGAATAGGGGGCTCACTTTTCCAACATCGTATTGGTACTAGTAACCACCTCTCCATATAAAAGAGTATTTCCAAATTCTTCGGCCTCGCTGGATTTTTCTTGCTGATATAGTCGCAAATTAGAGTAAAATGCATGGTGATTGAAATATGGTGTTTCCTTTGTGCCCGGCCATTCCGTCTCATGGAGAATGACTCGTTTGGGAATAGCATTGTAATCAATGATTCCATCATCTGCTCCAGCTGACTCAATAGTGTGCTTTTCTTCTGATGTAGGAACGACTGTGTCAGAAAGCGACTTTACTAAAGATTGAACTGACCAGCTACTCTCTGGTTTCTCAAGGTGAAGGGTGTCGTTTTCGCCCTTGATAATCTCTTCACCATTCTCTTTTTCGATGATTTCTTCCAATGAAGCCAGCAACTCTGGAACAAAAGGTGGATGAACAGATGAAAGATGGAGGCGAGATAGAGACGGCACTGTGGACGTTTCTTCGCTCACAGTCAACCCCAATTTTGATAGACATCCTTTCAAGAACTCTGTTCGCAAGTCGTCATCGGCGGCCAAATCTTTCACAAGGTCCGAGTATCCAGGAATCTTTATTGTTGGGTCCAGATTCACGGCAGCAAATCTGAGAAGCTGTAAGTATATATCCAAGCATCAAGCGAACCATTCTTACTCTGGATGCGGCCCAGTCAATATTGCCCCGCCTTCACCGACTTTGCAATAGACGACCGCTGCGGGATCTTCTCCGCCATCGACATCAACAGGATGCACATAGGTAGCAAGTGTCTCCACCCCCTGATCTTTGAATTTACCTGCATCGACGAAAACACCCCCGCCATTGTAATATGATTTAAAACTTTGAGAGGCATTTCCACTTTGAAGCGAGCCCTCAATCTTGACCTCTGCAGCCTTTGCACCCGCTTCACTGTGGTATACAAATCCTTTGTAAGCACATCCTCTGCAGGTACCTGGATAGAATTGTAGTTCACGTGGCGCAACAACCTCTAGCTGTTTATTACCGACCTCGAACTCACATCTTGTGGTACCATAGTAGCCTCCAGCACAAAATCCAAGATAGGCACCACCTCTACGCACATACTGTGAGATACGTCTGTTGCCTTCTCCATTGAGGGAACGGCAGTACCCTTGGTCTGCACCCCCTGGGAATACAAGAAGAGCACAAGAAGCGGTCCAAGGCTCTTTAAGAATGATATTATCACTAACAGGAATCACTGCGTAACTTGGCGATAGCAAACGCCGTAACGTATAAAGACAGTGGCGGACGGATTCAATAGTACTCCCATTACCTATCAGAAAAACTTAGAAAGAGTCTCAAAAAACTGTTGATTCAGTATACCTGAGTAGACCAGGACATCCATCTTTCTTGGGACCATTTTTCCTCGACTTAAATTTTAGTCACTGGGTCACAACCGAGGCTCTACCAACAGCAAAAACACCCGTTCAACGTTCTCCAAGAACTATTATAATTCTCCAAATCTCACCGTGAAGAACACACAGCATCCAAAATGTCGAATCAGTCAGGAAACAACCCTCCAGTTGCGACGGTTGTCCAAGATGATGATGAGCCTGATGAATGGTAAAATCTGTTGACCTCAACAACTCGGGTCTGATCACTGACTCAAATTGGTAGGGACAAACGAATCTTTAGCACGGGATGTGCGGGTAAGTCAAGATATCTCGATCAATCAACAACAGAGAATGGGAAGATGAGTGCTGAATCAACCGCAGAAGAGAACTCGAAAATGACTGATTGCTATTTTGAAAAGAAAGATTGGAGACTGTGCAAAGCAGAGGTATGAGAAAGCCCCTCTTAGCGTTAAATCACGTGGGGACTCAATCGAGACGGCGATAGCATGGCTGACTTCTTGTGAACATGCAGCTTGATACTTTCAAAAAATGTTGGAAGAAGCATCAAAATGATCAGAGGACATCAACGAAGGATGCTTGATATGACATGGATATTGCATGGGCGGTGGAAAGATTGACTGGAAAGATCATGGAGGACATGAGGACATGAGGGGTAGAATAGTTGTAAGAATTTGATGAATATGGTTCGTGAGAGCCAGGTGTACATTATTATAGACCACAAAATTCACTTTGAGAGAAATTACAGCAGAAATTCACTTCAAATGGTTTTTTATAATTGAATTTACTCTGTTGTTGTCTGGTGTAGCCGAAAATCAAATATCGAAAGGAAAATTGGTCGTCTTCTGAAGCGCGCCACATTTTTGTGAGCATAGAGAAATCGCGTCTACCAAGAACAAACACATTTTCCTCACACATCGACATGGCAGCAATTATACCTAGAGCTTCACGCTCAATAGTTACTGATGCAGCGACATCTGTATCAAGATTCTCAGCAGTATCAAAAATTACAAGTCTGACCGGTCAATCAAGACGCTTCTCCCAAAACTTTCGAAATGCGGCAATTCCAGGTTCGAGCTACACACCAAGAACGACGACTGCAACAAAGCCTCCCACAAGCTATGCAGCCCCTGCGACCAAACCCAAGGAGCCAGAGGCTGCGATCGATGCTCAATCGCCCATCACAGATATGACCGAGGGACTTGCAGATGGACCATTGATTTTGGATGAAGGAGATAGACAAGTCGACTGGGCGAGATCATTCCACGGATTGTCGTCACAGCCATTCTCCAAAGAAGCTGCAGATATTTTACTTGCACCAATCCCTGCTGATGATGTGGAGGTCAAGCCAGATGGTATTATATACTTGCCAGAAATCAAATATCGAAGAATTTTGAATCGGGCGTTTGGACCTGGTGGATGGGGTTTGGCACCAAGAGGGGAAACCATTGTCACGCAGAAGAGTATTACAAGAGAATATGCTCTCGTTGCTCATGGAAGGTAAGTCTTTAGGAGTTATTATTATTATTTGAGTGAGCAGAGCTAATGTTTTTCTCCTCTGCAGATTAGTATCCGTGGCTCGTGGTGAACAAGACTATTTCTCCCCCGAAGGTATTCCAACCGCCACCGAAGGATGCAAATCGAATGCCTTAATGCGCTGCTGCAAGGACCTCGGAGTAGCCAGTGAGCTTTGGGATCCCAGATTTATCAGGAAGTTTATGAAGCAACATGCGAAGCAAGTTTGGGGTGAACATGTCGTAACCAAGAAGAAGAAGCAATTATGGATGAGGAAGGATGACGAAGTTAGATACCCATACAAGGAGTCAAAGTTCGGCGCATAGAGGCCAGTTTTGATTTTGCCACGAATGAACGACTAAAATGGAGATGCGAATGTCGAAACATTGTATTATAGAGGATATATGATGTTCAAGGTAAATATCTACATCTACATTCCGAGAAGCAAAAAGAAGAACAGTATAAAAATCTCCTATGAACCAGGCGATTGTCTTTATGTCATCTCCTCGATACCCACGCTATATGTTGCATTTGTTCGTTGATATTTTCTTGATCTTTCACTCAGGCTGAGGAATGAATTACATGGCCTCCAGATTCCCTCCCCATCTGCTGCAAGTGCCGGCGCGTTGCATAAGTTCCTACTCGTATAGTCACCTGTCAACTCTCCTGTTCGCTCAATCAAACGATCCAAAGGCATTGCCTCGTAGGTGGTGCATCGGCAAATCTTGACTCCACAACTCTTTTTGCTCCTCGGCAAATTGAATCATTTATGATCACAGCGAACTCTGCTTACCTATTTCGCACTTACCAAAGTCCCTTCAAAACTTATAGATTGATTGTATACGCCCATCGCGCTTCCCCAACTCTGGTGGTGATGTCAATGCTCGGAACCTCGTGATGGCCAATTCGACATCTTAGTGTGGATTATCACTGGATGCCCATCAGGTCCTGATTTCCAAGTCTGCTTGATAGCTCTTGAGACTGAAGGACTAGCAGAAGAAACAGCCTTTTTAGAATCTGCGTATTGATTTTCCAATTCGGCGCTTTCACAACCAACAAAATGAGCGCAGGCAATCAACCCAAAGGGTTTTTCTGTGTCTATATTAGTACTTTCGTTAAAGCATTCATCGGAAATTCTCGAGAAATTCAAACTTCAATCGCGCCAAGTGATGCTGAGAAAGAGTGCCAAGCTATATTTGAGGTTGTTACAGCGTCGAGTGAGGCGCTAGCCAGGAGGATTATATCAGGATGTTTCTTGGTAACGATTGCGCCGCCCAGAGAACTCATGAACAAATTCAGGTCTTACCGGAAGGTCGTGGCGTGGTGAGAGAGGTTGGGGAGAATAGTTTAAAGACCTTTGCGACGAAGAATTCATTCTTACTCTAATGGATTTCATGAGCAACGTTAATCAATTCGGTTTCTATTTTTCAGTCATAAATTCAACTCGGGCCAAAAGTTTCTGAAGAAGCCTGGTAAATTAACATCACTACAACGGAGACAACCACATATATCTGGGGTCAATTATTGGTCACTGGCCAGAATCTCGAAGTCAATTTCGTAGTGAACCTTCTTTGTATTAAAGAAGCTGTAAACGAATGTTTTCCGGGGAATCAAGATAGCTTTGATATATTGAAACTTGGAGAAAGTATCCAGGCAGGCGAATGGTTATGTATGTGTAGTCCACAATGAGTTGGTTTTAATTTTGATCTGACAGCAAATTTCAAGAACCCAGCAACCAATTTCCGCCCTACATGCCTGCGGCTTTCTCATTATGGGGCTAGAAATACTCCCCAACTAGGATCTGGACATGGCGATCGAGCACACAGTGAAAGGGGCACCTGTTGGTATTTGGGACAGACTAAGTAGATGCCAACTCGTGCACAGGTCCAAAGTGGGACGACAGTTCAAACTAGTGCTCCTTGTTCGGATCTACGGGTTTACCCTCCCTATGGTTAAGGCAAATGCTACAGAATGTTTATCAGATCAAGTAAAACGTCTTTTTATCTATGAGGTCTCTTGTTTTTTCTTCACAGCCACATCTATAAAAAGGGTTTCTGACGCAAAAGGGGGTGAATCCCGGCTGGAGTTTGACACATTATCGAGTTTGCAGTCTTCTTCAGCCCTGCCACCCTGTAATCAATCTTTAGTCACTTCCAGACGAAGGAACCAATAAAATACGCAGCACAGTTGACAAGCGATGGCTCAAATTTTATTTCACATTGCTGCTTTACTGATATTTTCAGTGCCAGCCTTGCCAATCAAGGGCAATACCCAAGGCGGCCTCCATTTAAGCTTACCTAGGATCATGGCCCCACGAGATAACAATCCTTCCACTCAGACGTGTATACTTGGCGCAAGGAATTCAACAGGTTCTTCAAACAGTCGCGCTATCTAACTGTAGCGTATCACGAATTGGCTATGGAGACTCGATATCCCCATGTGGATACAGGGGTCCAAGGAGAGTGGTGCTTTGGGGATGGTGCTTTGAGGGTAGGTGGAGGCCAGTAGCCGCACTCTATTTCGTAAATGCATCAGATCTCCAGCACCTTGCGTGTTGTAGATTTCTTGCGACCGCTTTTTACTTTTCTTCGCGCAACAATTGATGAAGCTAGTGATCAATGTCAACTCCAACTTCGCGTTACCCAGCTGCTGAGGGGACAGCCGGTGTGGTGACTACTTGGCTACCTTTAACCACTGTTTATCCCAATGTGCCTAGCTGCAAAACCGAATTGTATTCTCCCAATAATCTCACACAGATCTATGCCTACGACCCTAACCAGAATGCCATTACCTTCGCGACGAAGTGCTGGCCTTCTGAAGCAAGATCATGGTGGAATCAAGACACCTCTGCGACAGCGATCACCTCACTAGGACCTTTTCTGTGTCCGGAAGCCTATACCGTAGCCGTCACCACCGTTGTAAAATCTGGTTCTACACTGAGTGGATGTTGTCCTAGCGGCTATGCTCTATGGTCTTTAATGTCCCAACCCTATCCCGGCGAATGCACATCGACCATCACCTCCGGAGCCACGATCACATATGTTAGTATTTGGACACCTGCCGCAGATGGATATACGACAATGACTGCTGTGTTGGATAGTGACCATGCGGTCCAGGCTGTTCAGATCAATGGATATAATTTCGATGGTAATTCTGCAGTTCCGACAGTGACGGCTTTCAGCTCGAGTACTAGTTCGAGTTCGACATCTGGATCGGCCTCCAAATCCGAAACGGCAGCCTCTGGCTCTACTCCCAGCTCATCTGGAGCTGCAGCCACATCCACATCGGCAGTTTCTTCGCCCTCAACTAGTGATAGTAGTAATAGTAGTTCAGGACTCGGCACCGGAGCAAAGATCGGTATTGCTGTCGGTATCGCCGTTGGCATAGTTGCCATTGCTGCTCTCATTGGAGCTATATTTTTCATGAGGAGGCGGAGGAAATATGATACAGCGCCACAGCAGGATATTCCTTACGCGGCTTCTCAGATAAAAATGAACCAAGTCGCTTCTCTTCCATCTTCGCCTGGATCTGACGTTCCGCATGAGATCGGCCATAGATATGGATACGAGGCGCACGAGGTTGGCAATACGCAGGTACACGAAATGAATGGATCGACTTTCGCTGAGCTCGATGGAAATGATAGACGCTGATTTCGAATTTGATGGTATATATGGGTGGTAATTGATTGCATGGCGAAGGCGTTCTTGGCATGTTGGGCATTTTAGCGACCATAAGTTTTTGGGCGAGGTCCTTGTCCCCGAGTTTAGAGATAATCAAGCGCGTGTTCCTCACAGTGTCTCTAAAAGATTATATGAAACGCGTGGTAACTAATTATTTATATAAATTGTTGCCCAAAGTTGGCTTCTGGGTGTATTTAACTCCCCCGTGTTTTTTGTCTTTTTTTTATTCCTCGAAGGAGATCGAACCTGGGGCTGGATACATGCACAAAAGTTCAGAATTCTCCATCTACAATTCTGTGCCTTTTGCAATCTCGATACGTTTTTATCGCTAACTAGACATATCATTCTTTAGAAAGTATCTTACAGCAGTTGCCAATCCTCACAGGACTTATATGCACTGGATAGCATAGTACACCATGCCTAAACCTTAATAAACTCCCAGACTATTATCTGTCCCTCTCCCTCTCCAGTGTTCCTGGGTTCTCCATATTCCCCCTCCCCAAGCTTTGCCAGATATTCCCCCCTCATCCCAACTTTCCATAGCCTTGACCAATGCGGCATCATCAAATAATATCCACCTTTTGGTGTGGGCTTTACACTGAATCTCTCCCATCCACTGGCCCATGTTACAGCACAATATATATTGCCCCAGAAATTATGGCCGAGAAAGCAACCAGAAGCGGCATTCTGAAAACGGAGCCATCCTTTGGTCTCGGTGCATTTCCACTATTGAGCGGTGAGTTTCAGTATAGCCCGAGTGAAGGTACGGGCCGAGAGGGCTCATTGCCTAGGGATTATATACTCACGTGGATGCTAGAGCCACGGTTATCGCCTGGCTTGGCTAAGATAACGCGCCCAGAGTCCAAAGTCAGGAGTCTCCCAGATGAGGAGGCGCGGATTAGGTAGCTTGAATTAGGCCGTGGGACTGAGCTTGAGTGGTGAGGGGTTTGATCGCCTTGGTCCTCGCGGTTATCATCGCCAATGATGGTAGAAGGGGGGGTGTAGATGGTAGAAGGAGGTGTGTGGATGGTAGAAGGAGGTGTGTGGATGGTAGCAGGGGGTGTGTAGATGGTAGGAGCATTGGAATCAGAATCGGCGACTGATTCATGGTCGTCTTTGTTGAAAGCCATGTAGTATGAAAAAGGGCCAGAGAGAATGGCCAGGACTAAAGTGAAGATGCCTGGCTTTTGATATTTCTTCTTCAAAGGTGAGTATGGGACTGAGCTGCTGAAATGGGGTTATTCTCGTGACAGGGCGTGCTTAAAGTACAGTCGGATGACTTGTTTGTATTTTCGCGAACAAGAAGCCTATTTCTCGTATCCAGTGACAGTGCAAGTTCAACATTTGCTTTTCATGAATAAAAGTCGTACTTTGGAGCTGATTATATACTTAATCATGCAGGAATTAGCCGCCTGCGACCCCGCATGCAGGCCAATCATTTTTCTGCTGCGCCGCTCACTGCCTTGAAAAGGTGCAGGAAAACCCTCCAATTTGCAAACGACGATAGGCTTTTGTGAGCTTCTGTTTGTTTCTGTGGTACCGGTTTTCAGGCTTGTGTTCCAGAGGACCCTGTGAGCCTGTGACTTATTTCGACGCCTTCAAGCATGTAACTAATTTCACAGGCCAAAAAGAAACTTGACACCACATCCGAATCGGCAATTAAGCCTCAGATATAAATATTTATAGCAGCGTTTGTGGCTATGAAATATACAAAACTTGATACCAGCTCCACATTGTTGATTCCATCGCACATAGCTGATGATGAATCGAGGCAGAATCTTAAAGCCATGGCAGAATACGGCCTTCCTTCACCATATAGTTGTTATAGGAATCACCGTGATAAGCACACTTACCTCACACCCACCACAGACAGAAAGCAATTGAGCGCTGGCCAACCCTTTCTAATTCGACAACAAGAACAAGAACAGCGAGATCGATGGGGAGCAATATGCGGGCGTTCAAAATGATAGGCTGAGTGATAGGTTGATGATGAATCTCTCAAGAGAACTTTGAACGGCCATTGGGTCCTTATAGGACTTCATTAAGAGTGCATTAACCTTAACCCTTTGAATTCCCTCCGCTGAATGCTGGGTATGCTCCAGATTGACAGCTTTACTGCTCACTGGAGCACTGTTAACTAGCACTGCATGAACCATCTTCAATAGACATATCTAAGAACGAGATATACTGAGACTATAACAAGGCATACCTTCAGTTAAGCAACAGTTTAAACATAACCAAAAACCCCAGACTATAGTTTCAATAACAACATTTTCCAAGATGTTGTTCTTCACTGATCAAAATCCAAAAATATACGAAGTATATTGTGGCTAAAACCGCGGCTTACTCAGCCGTCCCTTGTTAACAATAAATCGTATGTAGGAGGTAGGTAAAGACACCTCTCAATAGCAGCACAACCCAATTACCACGATCAAATTCCTCATAATCAATCTAATAACTCGCATTGCAAAGTCCCAGCAACACAATTGCCACATGCGCAACCCTCCCATCGATAGCTCCACAAAGATACGAAACATACCACTTTGCGCCCCAGAGCTATACCAGCTCGCACCCTCGCAAACCTCAGAGCCAAATATTACCAACTCGTTCAACCTTCCAATTCCTTAATTCAAGATGGCTCAATACTTTCTCGATTTACTATATACCCTCACGAACTGCATGAGTTGTTTTCCGGGCTCTCCGCAACTCAAGATAAATAATCGCAGTTTCAAGATATTACGATTACTGGGCGAGGGCGGATTTTCCTACGTCTACCTCGTCCAAGATACCAGCAGTGACAATACCTACGCTGTGAAGAAAATCCGATGTCCATTCGGTCAAGAATCCGTGGCCCTCGCCATGAAAGAAGTAGAAGCCTATGCGCTCTTCTCGCCGCATCCAAATATAATACACAGCGTGGATTACTGCGTCTCTGCGGATCGATCAGATCCCGGAGCGAAGACGGTGTATATCCTGCTACCATATTATCGACGCGGAAATCTACAGGATATAATCAATGCGAATCTGGTGAACCATACGAAATTTCCGGAGAAGAGGCTGATGGTTTTGTTTTTGGGAGTTCTGAATGCACTGAAGGCTATGCATCAGTATAAAGTTAAAGGAGGACCAGGTGGTGCGAATAGTGTGAACAAGGCGAAGAAAGTCAGGGCGGATGCGGCGCGGGCAGACCAGGAAGCGGAAGAGGAAGTGGAATCGAGGAGGGGAAGACAGAGAGGGAGAGAAACCGATGAGGATAGTGAACAGCAGGAACCACTTATGGATGGGGAAGTTACCATGAGTCAAGAGGGTATTGCGCCAGGAGGAGCTAGGGCATATGCGCATAGGGATATTAAACCAGGTATGTCACAGGGAGAACCCAATGCGTGAAGCTATCTAACGTCAAGAATAGGAAACATCATGATTGACGACGACGGCGTCCAACCCATTTTAATGGATCTCGGATCCCTAGCTCCCTCACCCACACCGATAACCTCCCGATCACTCGCCCTAGCAGTGCAAGACCAAGCAGCCGAGCACTCCACCATGCCCTATCGCGCCCCCGAACTCTTCGATGTAAAAACAGGCAGTACTATCGACACCAAAGTCGACATTTGGTCGCTAGGCTGCACGCTATACGCATGTCTTGTCGGAAAATCGCCCTTCGAAATGCGCAGCGATGAAACGGGAGGAAGTCTGAGCATTTGCGTATTAGGAGGCGATTGGCGATTTCCCGACGAAGGAGCTGGGGGAAAGAAGAAGACCACGAATCAGACGGGACAAAGTGAAGATAGTGGTATTAGCGAAAGTATACGGGAAGTGGTGCGAAAGTGCTTGAAGGTGGAACCTAGTGAGAGACCGGACGTGGATGAATTGATGGAGATTGTACGGGGCGTAATTGAGGAGTTGCCCGAGGATGGCCCTTCGTGATTGTGAATGGGATGGGGTGGGTCAAATGGATATAGGATATGATATGATAGGACGGGACAGGTCGGGACGGGACATGGTTTGGTTCAATTCGCCCTGTACGATTTCTCTGGGAGAGGACGAGGATTAAACGAGGCGTTATCAAGGGCGGGGAAAGCAGTGCTGCCCAAGGCGATGAATAATGAAGAGTTGAGATGATTTCAACTCACCAGCCTAAAAGTCAAGTCGCTTAATGCAATAGATGTGCGTTTCTGTGATCTACAATGTCTATAGTTAACACATTGACTCTATCTTGGCAATATAATTTAAATTTTGCAAGAACATTTCGCCCGGGTCTAGGTTAGATTACATTTTTGAGTCTAGATGTTATCACCTCACTTGTTCAGACGGATATGGATCTTGGAAATATCTCTTTAGAGTAAGAAACTAGGTATCACATGCAAGCAAGCATCAATTTAGATTTGTATGGTATTATTAGCGCAGCGAGGCGTATATGCTATTATATCCGAGCATCTCAAGCTCCTTTATGTGTTAGCTACTTTTTCAATATAAATCCATCATCTTCTCTGCATAACATCCGAGCATGCAACATTGGCAGTGACAGTGACAGACACTGCTGTTATCTTACACATCCACAAAGTATGTACCACCATTCCAAGCCATCATTTCCTTGAAAGAAACCAAGCAAGTCGACAGACATCTTACAACTCATCATCATTCGACGACTGGGATTCCAAAGTCTTTCTTCTCTTCTGATGCGATGCATCCACCTCGTCATGATCCATCCCAGCATCATGGCCACCTCTCTTCCCACTCGTACCTCCACTTCCAGCAATCAACCTAGCAGCCAACAATCCCTCTCCCACATCAGAAAATCCACACATAACCTCCACGAATCCATCTTTCGTAGTTCGGGACTGGAATTTCTTTTGCAGCTGCTTGAGTAAGACGTCGCGATCATTCTCCTTCCACAATCCTCTGATAAATCTTGCAATGAAGTCGAATCGAGACTTGCGTGATTTAATTGCCTTGTGGTATTCTGTTGC